ATGTTTGTCCCTTGGTTACTGACATCTCAAAGACACTGCGGTATCTGCTGGTTATTTCAAATGCAAGATGAAAGCTGTTTGCCTTCACATACTGAGCAGAATGAGCTTAATCTCAGATGTGAAGCAAGAAGGAAAAATTTGTGCAGTAGGTATAATTGCACCATACATTGAACTCTCTTTGATGGGTTTTCCTTCAGTGGCCTACATCTATGACACATACAAAGATTTGCAGATGTTGTGCTGTGGATACATCCTCCTAAATATTTTCAGAGCAATAACCTGAACGATGGGGGGATTATACATCAGACTGAATTGCAGCAACATTATGATATTGTCCTAATGCCAGTAATAGTAAAGTTAGTAAACTTAGTAAGTCCCTTGAAAAAGTTCATTTGATGATTGTGTATTTAAATAATGACAATACCTCAGGAAAAGGAGAAAGAGAGATAGAAATAGCTGTTGCTTTAACACAAGGCAGTGAACAAGTAGAAGTAGCAGTAGAAGGCTAAGAGCTCAGAGTTTGGTGTCTGAGCTTGTAGGGCAGTGATGTGTCTAGTGTTGAGAGCTTAATAAGCCATTCAGAAGTTGAGACTTTCAGAGGCACTTTCAAGGCAGGAAGAAATCCACTTGCTGAATTATATCTTGCCTTGACTGTGGAGGAAAAAATTGCCACACATTCTTACTGCTTCTAACAGTAGCTTAACTAAAACAGTCTTTGGCTGTCACAGTTCTAGTGACTGGCATTGTGGTGTGTGCTTTTTATTTTTTACCACTGCTAGGCTTGTGAAAAGCGGAGGCTGACATTTACAGTAAAGAAGATGCAGCTATTCTGATGTGGCAGTGAGTGTGGGAATTATTCCATAAGGTTTTTTAGGGTAGGTGTAGTCCCTGATTGCTCCTTTGCTACAACAGACTCTCTTCAGAAATGCTACAGCTTGATCATGTCTGTTGCTATTTTAGCTTGAATGTTGGTCTGATTTTTCTCTGCTTTGTTTACTCTTTGCTTCCATCCCTTCAGTTTTTCTTCTCTTCTACTTCCTTCCATTTCTGCTACATTTTGTCTGCCGTGTACACTTGCTGCTGAGTATATTGTGAAAAGTAGTGCTGTCTGATGACAAGATGTGAGAAGAAAAAAGGACAGATGATCTGTCTGGAGGAGTGAACAGGTCATCTGGCAGCTGCCTGCTGGCTTTGCAGGAGAATGAAGATAAAGCTGCACATCCTGGTGTGACCTTTCCCCTGTGCAGGCTAGAATCCCAATCCCTAATCTCCATGTGCTTTTGCTTTTCAGACTAAATAGTCCTAGTCTCTTGAATCTCTCTTTACATGGGCCAGCGTCAAATCACTGCCTCTGATCACTTTCACTTGTCTGCTCTGTGCTGTCTGTATTCCTTCTAGAAGAGATGGCAGTACTGGACGATTCCAAGATCTGTTCCATAGAGTCCCTGGGTCACATTTACTGTTGATGCAAATATGATTTCTGTGCACTGAAGTGAAGACATCCTTGGTGTAAAAGCCTTTTTTTTTTTGTCTGTGAATTGCTCTTCTTGGATGTTAAGCAGGTTTCTTCTGTATAGAAGAGAGATGGGACAGTGTGGATACTTTCCTTAGATATATTTTAAAAAACAGATGTCACTGGATTATGGCAATCTTTCATAAAGTCAGGATTAAGTTTTTAAATAGGTATAGAAAGTCTTGGTTAGATTGTATGTGACATAATACACGTTGAAGTATTCATTTTGATAAAGGATTTTTCAGTGAAGAGTAACAGAATAAGGTTTAACTTGCTCCATGTCCCAACAGGCTGTGATCGAGGCAGTGGTTTATTTTCTTCCTTTGTGAAGACCAAACAGAATATAGGAAATAAAGAAAAATTCTTTGCTCGTTTGGATCTGACTTAATAAGAATGCTGTTCTGCTTGCTTGTTATTCTCTCTTGCCTTCCGAGTGATTTGTTCTGTACATATAGGACAGGCTTAGGCTCAGATCAGTGTGGATTTTAGGCAGGTCAAGGGAGGTGAGGTTTACAGGTACCTTATTCCACTTCAGCCCTAATTCACCCTCTTGTTTTATTAGAAGGGGTAGTTGTAAATATCTCTAGGGATGTGTTATAAAGCTGCATTAAGCTAGCATTAACGTCTTAACGTATTAGTATTTAGCATCTTGCAGTATTAGTGTCTTAAAGGTGATGAAAGTACTGCCCTTAAAATATATTCAATATAAAGGGTAATATAAACACTACATTTGTTTATCAGGCAAATTATTAATGCACCTTTTAAGTAAATTTCTAAAAACTGAGAAGGCTGATTGGGGTGCTTATTCTGAGAAAAGTTAAGTCATGGTGATTAAATGCTTCAGTGGCAGATTATTTTCTAGTTCAAATTTCCTCGAATTTGCCTTTAGGCTTTTATTCATAACCTTAAAATATTCAGTTATATGATTCGTCTTGCTTGAAGAATCTTTGCATTCTTTTCTGAAGGAAAACCTTCAAGTGTTACAATCATAGAATCATTATCATTGGAAGAGATATTCAAGATCGAGTCCAACCATAAAATGTTGTTCCTTACAGTTCATCTTAGTGTGCATGAAGTATTTTGGCTAATGTCTTTGCTATTGTTTCTCCAGTCCTGTAATTAAGTTCACTAGTAGTTGTTTAAGCGATTGCACTAGTAGTTTTTTTTATGGGATATTCTTTGCAGGGTCACCATGGAATCCCATATTTGTGGTTGTCAGGAGTGAGTTATGCTTGGCTGCAGATCTTGTATCATACACAGTTTAATGTGTTGGACTAATTCTTTGTCTTATTTTTGGAAGGGATTGGCATGTGTTTTCTGTCTGGAAAACCACAGGGCCACAGACCAAGTGGTGTGGTTCTGTTGATCTCAGTGGTTATCCTGGAGTAGGCCCATCTGCTGTTGCCTATGGAAAGAGCCTTCCAAGGGTTCAAAGCGTGTGTTACGATGAAGTAGAGCATGCATTATTAGATGCACAGAAGGCTGTGTATCATTCAGGGTTCTTAGTTTCCAGGGGCAGAATTATCTGTGTCTACCTTCTCTAGGATCTGTGGAGCTTCTCAGAGATCCAGTGGGGGTTTCTGCGTGTTCCAGCTACAGTTCTGTCCTTGTAAGGGAACTGGGGAGGCAGGTATCCTGCCTTCTCTGTTGCATCATGTCCACCTGGAGTTGCTCTCTAAGGAACTGTAGGGCTGGCAGCCAGATGTGCTGACCGCGCTCGGGGCCGTGCCGCGTAGGAAGGAGACGACGGTGAGCCCTGCTGCTGGTGCAAAATGGTGAGGCTCACCGACACCTTTGGTGCAAGTGAGGCTTCCTAGCAAGAGGTAAGTTATGTTCTCACATCCTGCAGATAACCTGTTGCTTGTTTGAATGAGCAGAGATGTCTGCAAAATGTCAGGTCTGAAGTGAACAGGCAGGGAGACTTCAGTAAGCAAATCTGAGTGAGCGGGTGGCAAGCAGGTTGTTTGTTTGTTTGTTTTTAATTGGCCACAGAACAGTGCACTGTGTGTCATGTTGCACAGCAGGGGCCACACATGAGTGATATGAGCTGCCAACCTGCTTAAGTAATCTTCCCTGAATGGAGAACAGCCCCATCTAAGGGGCTGCTGCCTGTTCCCTGTGCTCACATTCCTCTCCAGTCTGTTAGTTACTGTTCCTCAGCACAGTTCAGTCCCTGCTCTTTATTTAGAGTTTAGTTGACTCTGCCTTTAGTTCCTCAAGTGGGAGTCTAAGAGTAAGGTTGATGCTTTTAATACGAGATTGTAATGAGTTGCTGCACAGCTTCTCCTGAAAAGGTACATCTGAATGATGAATCTCTTTTTCTCACTAACTCGAAAAGAAGGTTTTTCCACTTGAAATAAAATTCTAGGAGAGGAAGGTTAAAACCTTTGTGTAGATGCTTGATGGTAAGAAAGTATTGGAATAAGAGTAAATCCAAGTCATCTTTAAGTGACTGCGTTGGAGCATAAGAAATAGGTCATCTACCCAGAACTAAAATTTGGTCTGATTTGTGCTTGATATCAGTTGATTCCAGACTTGATTCCAGATATCTCTCCATTTTAAATAATATGCTCTTGATAATTTATAAGTTACAAAGACAAAGTTCTTTTCTTACTCACATAAAGTGACTATGGTCATTGAGCCAGCAATTCCTTGTGTTTTTTTGAAGAAAAAGATAACAGATACTTCTGTGATAGTGTCAGTATTATTATAGCAGCATTCAGAGACGTAAGTGGTTTATGAAATGGCTTAGGAGAATTTATACTATTGAAAGATTGGAGGGAGCAAATATGGTGTCTAACAGGTTTCATTTTTGTGGCATTTCCATCCTCATTTATGTTAAGAAAACCTGGTGTTGGTATTATCACTTTAGGTCATCACTGCAGTCAAAAGTCATTGTTCTACGCATCCTTCCTACATTGTGTGGTGATTTGCACTGGACCAAAAAATTCTAGTTAGGTTCAATTTGTATCGGTTGAGTTCTCTCCAGACGTGTGAACAGTAAGGAGGAAAAAGATCAGAAGATGGAAAAAGGAAGTGCAAGGGTGCAAGGAAGGTTAATCCTGTCACTTTCGCATAAGCTTTGTTTTATTCTTACAAGAAAAAGTGTGGTGTGAATTATTGCCTTAATCCAGTAAATTCATTTGGGAATTAAGTGGCTTTGCCTACGCTCAATATGATATGTTTGTACCTGGTAAGAGTGCTACCTTGCTATGCAGATTGTTGAGGTTACTGATTCCTTTGTGGGTTGAACCTGTTCTCCCATGTATCATCAGAAATTTGCAGTATATGGGTAAGATTTGAAAAAGACAAGTGATGTTTCTGCAGTATAGAAAGTGTTTGTCACACGTTTTGAACTGGGCTTGTTACACCTTTGTAAGGAGCTCTGCTTGGTAAGGCGGAATGCAAAGTAAAGATAAAATTTGTTCCATCTTTCTTACTGATTATAATTATGAAAAATGTTTAATAGATGATTTGTTTGTTGTTCTAGTGTTGATATGTTGATACCTCCTGATGAAGAAAAGGACCCAGAAGTGATTCCTGAAGATAGCGCTCTATTAACTCTTCGGTATGTTGTTAAGGTACCCCAGCAGAACCCTGCTAACAAACCCACCCAATCATGAAAGTGTGGCTCATCGCATGCTCACTTTCCAGGTGGCAGTGTGTCTTCTGAAGCAGTTTCCAGAAGTACTTTAAGGGCAATAACACCTTCTCTTGATGGGATAATTGGCATTAGTCTTCTGCTGTCATGTTACTTAGGAATGTTTTGGTGAGAAATACAGAATATACTGTCTGTGTTAAAGTGTTTTTCTAAAGTGGTTGTTGTATGTTGAAAGACCTGGGAGTCTTTCAGTACACAACATTGGGGAGTTCTGATGCTGGATGCCTCTGAAATGGCATCTAAATTTGGAGCATGATGAGGGGAACTTCACAAAAGGATGCACAGAAGATTCCCCAAAAGCCTTGTGATAGATGTCTGTAAGCTTTTGTGTCTACTGGCACAGAACCACACAAGGACATGCAAAGTGTAAGTGTTCAAGCTGCAGTTTTGTGTGTCTCTTTCTTCTTAGTGGAATTCGTTAATTTTACCAGTGCATTTCCATAGTTTGAGCCATGTTACAACTATATTACTTAGTGAGTTCTAACCTTAACACTTGGCCAATTCAGACTTACTTTTAATGTCCTTCAATTGTAGTTCTTTTGCAATTAATGTAAAGAAGTATGTGCTGAGGTTGCGCTCAGTGTCACTTTTGTTGTTACTGAAAAGTTACGACAAGTTCCCAGGGTAAAAGGACTTGTCCTGAAAGTTAAAGTGAGTTCAGTGTATAGTGGTTAAATGTGTTTATTATAATAGATGTTCTATGTATGATAGTTGTTTTTTTTTTTTTTTTTCTTCATAGAAAAGATACTCTGATTTCAATGCCAGGAAAATACGAATGCCTCAAGGTTGGGAAGGGTTTTTTTTTTTTTAATTTTATCTTGCTTTGTATTTGAACATGAGTTGAATACCTCTAAACTGGAAGGAGTAGTTGAAACAGACTCCTCTTAAGTAGCAAAATGTTTTTTTTTTCTAGGAGAGCCTGCTTGGATGAGATTTTATTGTTTTTCTGGAAAAATGTTTTAAAGCTGCTTAATAATTTGTGTGACCCTTTGGACAGATGGGGAGGGGACTCTGTAGGCTGGTCTTTACCACCAGGTTTCCTTAGAGTCAGATTATGACATAGTATGACAGACTAAAATTGACAGAAGTTCTGTTCTTTGAAAACATAATAGCTTCTGTGTTGTTTGAAAATCTGCATAGAGATTAGTTGTTAGTGCATAAAGCTATTTAATTTATTTTTTTCCATGTTCCTACCCTTCAGAATTAGAAAGAAGGCGCTAGAGAGGCGAGAAGAAACCATAATTGTGGATCGGGCTTGCAGACAAGAAACACTTGCTTATGAGATGGTAAGATTACTGGTCAGCTGGTAGGGCTTCACCACAATACAGTGCAGGCAATATACCACCTCTGGTTGCTGCTTCTTTTAAAAAACTTCCCCCCTCCACATTTTTTTCCTCTTTATCTCTCACTCTCTTATGACTCTGTATGTTATTTATGCAGACTGAGTTTGCAGGTAACAATTAAGAGATAGAGAGAGACTGCAGAAAGGTAGGCCACCCTAAAATTTTAGGGACAGGAACTCCTCTTTTACAATCTGCTTGTGCTAAATGTAGGTTGGAGGAACTCCAGTTCATTACTGCTGTACTAGTTGTTCACAACTAGAGCAGTTGTAGGGGATGCAGCATACTGAATATTAGGTGAACATACTGTGGGAGTAGGCAAAATGCTTGTGTGTTTGCTCCTGCAATTCTGTTGTGGAGTCGAAGCGTTCAGGTATAAATGGTTATGGCCTTCGTTCTGCAGAGCTGAAAGAAGAGAGTAGAGGCATGGTAGCTTCATAATTCTGAGCTGCATAACACAAATTTCGGAGCCACTCTGTGCTGAGAGTGCAGTGATTAACCACTGAAAATTCGTTCTGGATGTATATTTTTTAAGATTTCTTAAAAGCCAGTAAAAATAGATATCCTAGATTAAAAAAAAAAAAAAGTTCTTAAATGCACAGGTTTGAGCCATGGCTTGAACAAGAAAAACACAAATTACTGTAAAAGGTAGGAAAGGAGATACAGAGAGAGTGGGACATAATTTTTGACTTTTAAATACTTTTCCCTTAAGGTTTCCTGGAGACTCAGATCCAGGTTTTCATTGAATAGTGTCTTATTTCTATTTCTGAAGGACAATCATATGGACAGTTACTGCATCCTTCAAGGAAACTGTGGTGTCCAGTTTGTGTGCCAGAGATGTGGCCAAGCTGTATGACACAGGATGTGAACAGTAACCAACCTGGGTGTGGAGTATGTTCGCATTAGGAGAGGGATGCAGAAGGATAGAGTACGTATATTTCCGAACTGGTAGCAAACAGCAGTACACACTTCTACTATTAGATGTGAGGAAGAACTTCCTTCCTGTGAGGGTGTCAGACCCCTGGCACAGGCTGCCCAGAGAGGGTGTGGAGTCTCCTTCTCTAGAGATCTCCCATACTCGCCTGCATGCCACCCTGTGCCACGTGCTCTGGGTGTCCCTGCTGGAGCAGGGGGGTTGGACTAGATGATCTCTAGGGCCCCTTCCAACCTCAGCCATTCTGTGACTCTGTGGTAGATAGGAAGAATGCTTTGTGCTTGTGAGAAGTGTTTTTTGCAACCATCATTCTCTCTCAGCTTGTTGAAATTATAGGAAATTGTTACTGCCACAGGAAAGAACTCTCCCTCATCTTCACAGCTGGAGCTATGCCTTAAACATAGGATGGAAATGCTTTCAGTTCTTACTTAAAATATAGTTGTGTGGCAGGCAGTACTGGATTTGGGGGTTGGATTTTGAAAAAATCAAGACCACCAACTATGTCCAACTTCTTTAGTAAGAGACAGTGTTGCATTAACTTCTATAACCTCACCCTATGGCGAATTTCTAGGTCAGCCTTTCTCGAGGTGGGAGTTGTGATCCTCTTTTTGATGTGAAAGCATCTGAAGGGGGTTTTCAGGTAAAGGGGTAGAAATTGATAGCAGCTGGCTTCTACTAGGGTGGAGGCATGGTTATCTGCCTCAAATTCCTGGAAATAACTCTGTTAGTCTAGAGCTGATGAATGGAGTAATTGTGGCAGGTTCTCACCTCACTGTCTTGGAAAAACTAGTCTGTTATCAGTTCAGAAGGCTATCCTAAGACAGAGTTGAGAAGCAAACATTAGAACAGAGTTTCTCAAACTTTTATCTAGAAGATATATTAGCAGTTGTTAATATGAGGTGTATGCATATCTTTATTTTTCCAGGAGTCTCATGCAATTGGAAAGAGACCAGACAATCCAGCAGATCTAGTTGAGGAGGGAGAGCTGCTTTTGACTCTCAATATCTTCTATCCCGTCATATTTCAGAAGGTTGGTACTGAGTTACCTGCATTGTATTCTGATGCCTTTTCCATACTCAGTTGCTTGGGGATGCAGGCCATTAAAATCAGTTAGACTGCCAAGAGAGTGTGTTATTATACAAAGCAAGCCTTTAAATTATGGTAACTTTTTAGGCTTGTGTTAGAACATGTCTTTCATTATCGGTTAGTGGTTTACAGAAATAAATTCTTGTAATAATTACTCAGCAGTTACTTGATTTTACAGAAGGCCCAAAACATGTAACACATGAAAAATGAAGTACTTTTTCTGCATACGAAATAAGTTTGCTCAAGCTTCCTCTTCTTTCTGCATTTTCTTCTGGGGAATGTAGCTTTTGGGCTTCAGGAGAACTTCCTAATCACTTTAAGAAAGACTGAGACAAGATGCTCTTTCCGATCACAGGGAGGTGATGTTCCTTGTGGTACTGCTAATGACCCCAAGTGGTCACTGAGCAGCAGTTCTGAAGATTGTTTGCTTTGTTTGTTTTTTGAAGTTCATAAATTGCTTTTTTTCTGTAGCATAAAGATCACAAGCCCTTTCAGACGGTCCTTGTACTGGGCAGTCAGAATCTCACTGAGCTGAGAGACTCTATTTCCTGCGTCAGTGACCTCCAGATAGGTGGTGAGTTCAGCAGTCAGCCAGATCAAGCTCCAGAGCACATCAGCAAGGTAAAAGCTTGTATGTTGAAAGCCCTGCATGAATAGAGAAATTGGAGAACATACAAAAGAGTGTGAGGGAGGATTTCTTCTCAGCACTAAATCTAGGTGGTTTGACTTTAGTTGTGGCCTGCACCAAAACTAACAGCTTCTTAACAACATTCTTGATGGCGTGTCAAGTGCTATCACTGGAATGTAGTGCTAGTAGCAGTAAGTTCTTGTGTGTATATGTGCCTGTGGACAGACTCTTATTTGAAATATGTTCTAAAATGCCAGGGATAATAGAAATCCAAAGGTTCATCATCTCCCTTTAACTTAACATGCTTTGGTTTGCAAGTTGTTGCTGAGCAAAAGGAAGAATGGAGATCATTTCCCTGTTCTCCACCTGCTGTTTCTTTTGGGTGGATGCAAGAAAAGGACTCATTCCATTTATAACATGAAAAAACATTCCTTCTTGTTTAAGAAAACAGAAAGACATTCCAAGTACTAGTTTTTCACGTGTGCAGAAGTAAATGGAAGAATATGAACAAACCTTTCCACTGCTATCTAGTCAAATAGTGGTTGATTAGTTCTGAGTTTCAAGGTTCAACTCTTCTTGATTGTGCAGAGGAGACATGTGAGTTGTGAAAGAGGGTTGAGATTTGGCTTTCTTACCTGCATGATTTCCGCACAGTAAATGAACACCATCACGTGTGGCCTCCCACGAAGAGCCAGTACGGAGCAGTGTGCATTAATTGCAGTCATTAGCTTCAACCATGACTATGAATTGACAGCTTGCAGTGGGATGTTGGCTAAGTGTGTGGAAAGTCTTTGTGATAAATTTGCATGTTGTTTCAGAAGGACAGTAGTTTAGTAGGATTTGCTTCCTTGCAGTCCAGAAGAGAAGCAGCTAGAAATATATTAGTCTTTCCAAGCAGAAAAACAGCTTCTGACTAAAATTTATTTTATGTATATATTTATCCGGACTCCACAAAAGAGGCTCTTTAATCATGGGTAACCAAAAAAGGCAACCACAGCCTTTTGGTGTCAGCCCTGGCCTCAGTTGAAGCACAGATGGAGTATATAGGTATGCAAAAGCACTGTGTTCCTGTTTTTACAGATTAGGCACTTTGTTAGGACGATTTTTTAGATTTTAATTTGTGTAAATAGGTTTAACTTCTATTTTGTTCCCACTATTCCTGTTTTTGTTTGTTTGTTTTGTTTTTGTCAGACTTTGTTTCTGTGCAAGGGTCACGGATCTTTTATGCAGAGACTATTACTGGGGTTCCCTGGAGAAATGTAATGCAGAATCTCTCCTCACAGGCTGAAGGATAATGCAGGGCTTGAGAGGAAGAAATGTCTTCAAGCCATATTTCTGGCCAGCATTCGTCAGGAAATACCTGAGTGAAATTCCCAAGAAGTTTATAACAGGGCTTCCTGTGACCTTCTCTTCCCTCTAGCAAGCGGCTGTTTTTGGAAATTTAGCGAACTTTTAAGCACTGATGAACTCTGAACTGTGTGACCCTCAAAAGTTGAATATAGCAGTATTTAGGATTTATAGTTAAGAGAATTGAGGAGAGTAACAGTGCAGGGTCTAACAAATCTCAGAAGAAAAGGCATTCCTACCACTGTGCCTCTGTGCAAGTGCTCTACAGTCATGAGTGCGGCCTGTGTCTGCATGCTCTGGCTTTTGCCACCTTAGAGCTTAAACCTGAAGAAGATCCCCCTACACATTTGTTCCACATTAATGAGGAATAAAATTGGTCTGGAACTTGAATACCCAGTTGGCTATGGCTTTCTGATTTGATTGTTTAGTCTGTTGATTCCTCAGTCCCCAGCCTGTAAAACAATTCATATTTCCTTCTCTGTCACCTATAACTGTTCGCAGGAGTTCAAATTTACATGTTTTTGGTGTATTTTAGTATCACTTGATGTATTATAAATCTGCATGCGTGTGCAGTATGTGCAGAATGTCTGAGAAATAGTTTGTACAGAAATATTCCACTTTGAAATAGTTCCGGGTAGATTCAGTCAATGTCCCTAAACTTCCAGCTACTTCCATTAGTGAATGCTGTAGAAAGCAACTTGCCCTTTTTCCCATCCAGAAGGGATTTACATTGTGGCTATATGGTTTTTGTGATAGAAGTTACTATATTTTTACTATTGCTTTTCTTCAGCAAAATGCAATAAAGTAATCGAACAGTATAGTTTCTTGCTTGCTTTTGCTTCAAGATTCCATGCATGGTGATGTTTCCTGCCTCATCTAAAATGTTTGCAAAGCCCTCTGCAAGGCTTCTGTTCAGTTTGATAACATATTCTGTAATACGGCCTCAGTCTTGAGGAAATTATGGAATAAACCCAAACAGATTCTTTTTATATGCCAGGAAGAACCTGAAAGGGCACATTTCAGAAGTAAACTTTACATTGATAAAAAAGCACAGCCTTTCCTCAAAGAAACTTGTTTCTATAAAACAGTTTTGACAACAGCAACAAAAAATGGAAATTATGGGAAGCAGATGCTTGCCTTAGGGTACCTTTCTTCTTCTCTTCTTCAAGAAGTTAAACTGTGTCTGTATTTATGTGTTTTTTTTTTCCTTTTTGACTATATGTAAGTCATGTTAAACTGTTCTGCTTCTTCCTGCTCTTGTGTAACTGTTTTGAAGTTCCAAAACTACATATTGTTGATATTATTTCAAAATACATTTTGTCTCTAATATTTAGTTTTAGTAGAAGAGAAATCTCAGGATGATGTTGTGCAACAGTGTAGATGGATGAAAAGAGTGATATTTGGTTGTGTTGGCTCAGTGGGATGCATATTTTATGAGGCTGCAAGTGCCTAGGAACCTGTTTTTTAATACAAGATTATTGCATAAGTGTACATGTTAGTGGTCCTACTGCAGAATTTAATGCATGTGTAGAGGAGACTAAAGGGTTAACTCCAATTCTTGAGGTGATTCAGAATCAGATGAGTCCAGGCGCTGCTGGCAAGTGTCATAAAATGCTAATTATCATTGAAAGACAGAAAGATTGGTACAAACAGCTTGCATGCCTCCATGTGACAAGTGGTGCCATTAGGGGTGCGTTTTGATGGATAGTGGAGTTCTTTTTGAGACCCGGGAAGAGGGATGATTCAACCTGCTGAATTTGCATATTTGCATTATTTACATGGAAATAGCTAGGGACTTGCTCCCAGTGAAGCTTGCTTGCTTCGCTGACTGGTAGAAGAAAGTGTGGAACGGAACAAGCCAGCAAGAATTCCCTGTTGTCCTAGCACATGGTGATCTGACCTACCCGACCTTGCTGAACGTGTGGCCTTTTTTTTTTTTTTTTTTTTTTGGTCAGTGCTTTGCAGTTGCTTAATTTTTGCAATTTTTTTGTACTTTGATAGAAATCTGTAAGTGGGAGTAGAAGTAGTAATAAGAGAACCAATAGAACCAGTACTGGCTTCAGCACAACATGAGCAGAGTGATTCCGTAGCCAGCGATGGTGCAAGCCTTGTTGTGGCACCAGCATCTAAAACCAGTGCAGATCTTATCCTATAAACTTAAAGAATTAGGCTTTTTTGTGTAATTTGGATACCTAAAGTGCACATTCTTGAGATGTTTTTGTAATACTTTCAGTGTTTAGTCTAGTGTAACACTAATGCAGACTTTGCTTTCTTGCTCCCCTCCCTCTTTTTCAGGATCTCTACAAATCTGCTTTCTTTTATTTTGAAGGCATCTTTTATAATGATAAAAGATACCCAGAATGCAGAGATCTGAGCAGGTACGGTGCATATTTACATGTGTGTGTACATTAGTGAGAGGAAACCACTAGAGAAGGAAAATCTAGCCTTTAAAAAAAATATCTATGGTCTTTTTAGGACTAGTAAGTATAGTATATGAAGTTAGAGTGGACTTCATATGATCTCTGCTAATGTTTGGTAGATTTTTAAATAAATGTTTATTTTTAACTTTTTAACTGGCACTTCCTTTTTGAAAATAGGAAGTGTTTTGCTCTGTTGTGATAGAAGGTTACAGAGAGGAAGACGCTTGCCAGTTGTGTCTAGAGTTACCATCTCTAGTTGTGATGGTCACTGAAAAACTTGCCCATGAGGTCAAGCCTCTACTGTGTAGGGGCTGTTATTTTCCTCAGTATAAAGGATGTGCTGAGTGTCTTCATGGGAAGTCAGCAAGGAGATTGACTGCTGAGAAAAAGAAATCTGAAAGGTCCTTGAGAGTTTTGGGTTTATTTGGAGCTATAGCTCACACTGTTGTGTGCTGGTAGGAGGTAAGGGCTTTTTGACGCGCTGGTGAAACGTAAGCAATCGAGGCGTTAGGAGAGGCGGAGTGGAAGAGGCTTATGCTCTGGCTAGGTGACGTAGTTCCTGGGCTTGGTCTGTGACCGAGCGCAGTGCGTGATTTCCACCCCTCCTCCTCTGCGTGTCAGGAGTGATGATAATCCCCACGGAAAAGATTCTTATCACGCTTTTACAACGCGGCCTTCCTTTCCTTGCCTTCTCTTTCAGGACAATCATTGAGTGGTCAGAATCTCATGACAGAGGCTATGGAAACCTTCAGTCTGCCAAGATGG